TGTTTCTCCTCTACAAGGCCTATATAGTCAAACCCCGTGAAACCCCTCATTATTTTTCTCTAGAAGCCATGGAATAGGCCAACCCCCCTGTTTTTAACATTTTTTTTCAAATTTTGAGCTCTAGTTTCAGATTTTTGAACATAGCGCCAATCGATACCTTGCGCAAAAGATGCGCCTGTTTCTCTTCTACAAGACCTATATAGACATACCCCGTGACACCCCTCATTATTTTTCTGTAGAAGCCATGGAATAGGCCAATCCCCCTGTTTTTAACATTTTTTTTCAAATTTTGAGCTCTAGTTTCAGATTTTTGAACATAGCGCCCTTCGATACCTTGCGCAAAAGATGCGCCTGTTTCTCTTCTACAAGACCTATATAGTCATACCCCGTGACACCCTTCATTATTTTTCCCTAGAAGCCATTGAATAGGCCAACCCCCTGTTTTTAACAAATTTTTTTTCAAATTTTGAGCTCTAGTTTTAGATTTTTGAACATAGCGCCCTTCAATACCTTGCGCAAAAGATGCGCCTGTTTCTCCTCTACAAGACGTATATAGTCAAACCCCGTGACACCCCTCATTATTTTTCCCTAGAAGCCATTGAATAGGCGTACCCCCTGTTTTTTCAATTTTTTTTTTTAAATTTTGAGCTCTAGTTTCAGATTTTTGAACATAGCGCCCTTCGATACCTTGCGCAAAAGATGCGCCTGTTTCTCCTCTACAAGACTTATATAGTCATACCCTGTGACACCCCTCATTATTTTTCTCTAGAAGCCATGGAATAGGCCATTTCCCCTTTTTTTAACAATTTTTTTTCAAATTTTGAGCTCTAGTTTCAGATTTTTGAACATAGCGCCCTTCGATACCTTGAGCAAAAGATGCGCCTGTTTCTCCTCTACAAGACCTATATAGTCATACCCCGTGACACCCCTCATTATTTTTCTCTAGAAACCATGGAATAGGCCAACCCCCGTGTTTTTAACAATTTTTTTTCAAATTTTGAGCTCTAGTTTCATATTTTTGAACATAGCGCCGTTCGATACCTCGCACAAGAGATGCGCCTGTTTCTCTTCTACAAGACCTATATAGTCATACTCCGTGACACCCCTCATTATTTTTCTCTAGAAGCCATGGAATAGGCCAACCCCCCCTGTTTTTAACACTTTTTTTCAAATTTTGAGCTCTAGTTTCAGATTTTTGAACATAGCGCCCTTCGATACCTTGCGCAAGAGATACGCCTGTTTCTCCTCTACAAGACCTATATAGGCATACCCCGTGACACCCCTAATTTTTTTTCTCTAGAAGCCATGGAATAGGCTAACCCCCTGTTTGTAACAATTTTTTTCAAATTTTGAGCTCTAGTTTCAGATTTTTGAACATAGCACCCTTCGATACCTTGCGCAAAAGATGCGCCTGTTTCTCTTCTACAAGACCTATATAGTCATACCCCGTGACACCCCTCATTATTTTTCTGTGGAAGCCATGGAATATGCGAACCCCCCTGTTTTTAACACTTTTTTTCAAATTTTGAGCTCTAGTTTCAGATTTTTGAACATAGCGCCCTTCGATACCTTGCGCAAGAGATACGCCTGTTTCTCCTCTACAAGACCTATATAGGCATACCCCGTGACACCCCTAATTTTTTTTCTCTAGAAGCCATGGAATAGGCTAACCCCCTGTTTGTAACAATTTTTATCAAATTTTGAGCTCTAGTTTCAGATTTTTGAACATAGCACCCTTCGATACCTTGCGCAAAAGATGCGCCTGTTTCTCCTCCACAAGACCTATATAGTCATACCCCGTGACACTCCTCATTATTTTTCTCTAGAAACCATGGAATAGGCCAACCCCCCTGTTTTTAACACTTTTTTTCAAATTTTGAGCTCTAGTTTCAGATTTTTGAACATAGCGCCCTTCGATACCTTGCGCAAGAGATGCGCCTGTTTCTCTTCTACAAGACCTATATTGTCATACCCCGTGACACCCCTCATTATTTTTCTGTAGAAGCCATGGAATAGGCCAACCCCCCTGTTTTTAACATTTTTTTTTCAAATTTGAGCTCTAGTTTCAGATTTTTTAACATAGCGCCTTTCGAAACCTTGCGCAAGAGATGCGCCTGTTTCTCTTCTACAAGACCTATATAGTCATATCCCGTGACACCCCTCATTATTTTTCCCTAGAAGCATTGAATAGGCCAACACCCTGTTTTTAACAATTTTTTTTTTTCAAATTTGGAGCTCTAGTTTCAGATTTTTGAACATAGCACCCTTCAATACCTTGCGCAAGAGATGCGCCTGTTTCTCCTCTACAAGACCTATATAGTCATACCCCGTGACATCCTTCATTATTTTTCTCTAGAAGCCATGGAATAGGCTAACCCCCTGTTTTTAATATTTTTTTTTTCAAATTTTGAGCTTTAGTTTCAGATTTTTGAAGATAGTGCCCTTCGTTACCTTGCGCAAAAGATGCGCTTGTTTCTCTTCTACAAGACCTATATAGTCATACCCCGTGACACCCCTCATTATTTTTCTCTAGAAGCCATGGAATAGGCCATTCCCCCTGTTTTTAACAATTTTTTTTCAAATTTTGAGCTCTAGTTTCAGATTTTTTAACATAGCACCCTTCGATACCTTGCGCAAAAGATGCGCCTGTTTCTCCTCTACAAGACCTATATAGTCATACCCCGTGACACCCTTCATTATTTTTCTGTGGAAGCCATGGAATATGCCAACCCCCCTGTTTTTAACAATTTTTTTTTCAAATTTTGAGCTCTAGTTTCAGATTTTTGAACATAGCGCCCTTCAATACCTTGCGCAAAAGATGCGCCTGTTTCTCCTCTACAAGGCCTATATAGTAATACCCCGTGACACCCCTCATTATTTTTCTCTAGAAGCCATGGAATAGGCCATTCCCCCTGTTTTTAACATTTTTTTTTCAAATTTTGAGCTCTAGTTTCAGATTTTTGAACATAGCGCGCTTCGATACCTTGCGCAAAAAATGCGCCTGTTTCTCTTCTACAAGACCTATATAGTCATACCCCGTGACACTCCTCATCATTTTTCTCTAGAAGCCATGGAATAGGCCAACCCCCTTGTTTTTAACACTTTTTTTTCAAATTTTGAGCTCTAGTTTCAGATTTTTGAACATAGCGCCCTTCGATACCTTGCGCAAAAGATGCGCCTGTTTCTCCTCTACAAGACCTATATAGACATACCCCGTGACATCCCTCATTATTTTTCTCTAAAAACCATGGAATAGGCCAACCCCCCTGTTTTAACAATTTTTTTCAAATTTTGAGCTCTAATTTCAGATTTTTGAACATAGCGCCCTTCGATACCTTGCGCACGAGATGCGCCTGTTTCTCCTCTACAAGACCTTTATAGTCATACCCCGTGACACCCCTCATTATTTTTCTCTAGAAGCCATGGACTAGGCCAACCCCCCTGTATTTAACAATTTTTTTCAAATTTTGAGCTCTAGTTTCAGATTTTTGAACATAGCGCCCTTCGAAACCTTGCGCAAGAGATGCGCCTGTTTCTCTTCTACAAGACCTATATTGTCATACCCCGTGACACCCCTCATTTTTTTTCTGTAGAAGCCATTGAATAGGCCAACCCCCCTGTTTTTAACATTTTTTTTTCAAATTTTGAGCTCTAGTTTCAGATTTTTGAACATAGCGCCCTTCGATACCTTGAGCAAAAGATGCGCCTGTTTCTCTTCTATAAGACCTATATAGTCATACCCCGTGACACCCCTCATTATTTTTCCCTAGAAGCCATTGAATAGGCCAACCCCCTGTTTTTAACAATTTTTTTTTTCAAATTTTGAGCTTTAGTTTCAGATTTTCGAACATAGCGCCCTTCAATACCTTGCGCAAAAGATGCGCCTGTTTCTCCTCTACAAGACCTATATAGTCATACCCCGTGACATCCCTCATTATTTTTTCTCTAGAAACCATGGAATAGGCCAACCCCCCTGTTTTTAACAATTTTTTTTTTCAAATTTTGAGCTCTAGTTTCAGATTTTTTAACATAGCGCCCTTCGATACCTTGCGCAAAAGATGCGCCTGTTTCTCCTCTACAAGACCTATATAGTCATACCCCGTGACACTCCTCATTATTTTTCTCTAGAAGCCATGGAATAGGCCATTTCCCCTTTTTTTAACAAAAAAATTTCAAATTTTGAGCTCTAGTTTCAGATTTTTGAACATAGCGCCCTTCAATACCTTGCGCAAAAGATGCGCCTGTTTCTCCTCTACAAGACCTATATAGTCATACCCCGTAACACCCCTCATTATTTTTTCTCTAGAAACCATGGAATAGGCCAACCTCCCTGTTTTTAACAATTTTTTTTTTCAAATTTTGAGCTCTAGTTTCAGATTTTTGAACATAGCGCCCTTCGATACCTTGCGCAAAAGATGCGCCTGTTTCTCCTCTACAAGACCTATATAGTCATACCCCGTGACACCCCTCATTATTTTTCTCAAGAAGCCATGGAATAGGCCAACCCCCATTTCTGCAAATGTGTATCTTAGTTCAATTAAACAATGACATCAAAGGTGCTGTATTTTACAGGGAAGGACTACTTTTACATACGTACTAAATGGAAGTGGGTGCATTGGTGGTTTTACACCTACAAATAATCCGTTGACAGATGCAGATTTACTGTGGTACTGAATATTAGACTAAAAAGAGATGCGACTTGTTTTATCAATGGATGGGATAAATACCATTTCATGATAGAGTTGAAATTGCAATATTTGGACGGAATTTCTGCCTGTTTAAATATTTTTCATTTAACGGCCGTTGCTGTCTAATTCATTTTTTCGGTTTTTAGATATATCGCATTATTGTTCGCTGGCTTATTGTTCGCTAGTTATTGTTCGCTAGCTTCAGCCTGGTTACTCCTGACTTGGTACAGGACATTTTAAGAAAAAATTTATAAAACATAAGTCGAAGAAAAACAGACGACAGTCCACAAACTATTCACATAAAACTAGAGATTTAGCAACACATGTGTAAGTTTTATTCAACAAAAAATAATCTGTTTACTAGTTGTGAAGTAGGCAGAAACTGTTATCCAACTGGAGGATCATTTGAACTGAAACAGAAAAACGCAAAGAAAATTACAATGAATATTTCAATGTTTAAGTGAAAATAACACTTTATGAATTGTGTACGTCCGAAGCGCTTTTTTACTTCCACCAGGAATGCACTCGAATAGCAAGTACTTTGGTCACATGCGCGTATTCTGATTTACCTTCATCCTCTGCACTTAAGGATGTTCGCTCCTCTTGTTTTTGAATTTTTGCCAGATATTCGGAATCCTCTGGTTTTATCCATGTAGTGCCATTAAAAAATTTGCCCGCTAACCCCTACTTTTCTTTTCATAATTTTATAACATATAGTTTAAAAAGCCATATTTGAAAATCTTATAAAATCCTTGTTATTTTTTCATTGTTTTTGAAAGAAAAAAGGTGACAATATTAAATGTATGAAAAATCTAGAGAGAATCATTTCCCGCCAAATTTTCAATGGCTTATAACTCGAAAACAAGCACACGGACCCTTAATTTTTTTCTGCTTTTTTAGTTCCTTTATTTACAAACTTTCAATTTAAAACAGTCTTTTAAAAAGCTTGTTATTTTGAAACAGAGTAGCAAACATCCTTAAGATTAAATTTCCTGCTTTACTGCATTTATCATTATATTTTGCCCTTCTTCGAAACTTAAGCTAGGGGAATACGTCGAAGAAAAAATCAAATCATGAATGAGTTTCACAACAAAAAGCCACTCGAGATGATTTATTATTATTTCTCTATCTATGATCAAAGGGGGTAAATGAAAATGCAGACGACAACGTGAAAATAATAATCAAATGCACATTTGCCAAAGACAAAAAAGAAAAAGAAATACAAGTTTGTATGAAAAGAGGACATCTATTATGGACACCAAAAATAACTTCATCGCGTTTTCTCAAATTGTGAATTGTCTAAGCTATCGTTAAAGACAGTATTGACCTCTAGATTACTCTTATGTTTCGTAACTGTCTCATTGACGTCTTGTGAATTCAATTTTTTTCGTGGATACCAATTTTCGTGGATTGAGGAAACATTGTATTATCGTAAATATTTGATTTCGTGGTTTTGTAAAAGTAGGTTTACATGCCCCCAAAAAATTTATACTACGTTGACCATTCAAATTCGTGGTTTTCTAATACCAACGAAATCAACGATAATTGGTACTCCACGAATGATAATGAATCCAGAGTTTACATCAAATCTCCTTTTCTTCGTATAAAAAAAAAAAGATTTTCTTAATTTTACTTACGCATGCTCACAGATGAATTGAATAACATGTAAACAACCATAATCATTCCATTGTCCGCTATAGCCTTTCTGTGTCATTAGACAGTTTTCGCTGTTCTGGTAATTTGACGGTTCATGTGGCAGCCAGGCCGTAAAATCAAAAAGCTCTTTACTTGACGCCCATATCCATCTTCCCTCTTTATTATGATCTGTACCATCTAACCAGAATGAACCTTTGTCAACAAAAATGAACTATGGGTTAATTTTTTGATACAGTTCTTAACTCCACAGTTACTGTTTGCAAAAAGTTGAAAAAATGAATTATTCGAAGATTTTACAACCATCGGGTCGATGCTATTGTTGGGCGTTTCACCAAAGAGAGTTTCACCACCTTTGTAGTCAGCATTCTTCGTTGTTGGCTAGAAATATCATTGATACTGTAATTTTTCTGTAAATTAACTGTAAATCGAAGAGGTACGGATATGGATTATAAAATAAGTATGTAATCCTTGTTCCCTTACTGTATTTTATTCTATATAAATATAAAAAGACAAAGAGTAAAAAATATAATATGTTAATTTACTCAAGACCAAAACACAAATACATAAAATTGTGATTTGCATCTTTAGATACATCATATTCTTAACAAAAGTAAGACACAAAAATCTCACACATTTATGACAGTTGTCATAACGTTTCAATCACTAGTAAAAAGGAAAGTAAAAAAGTTTCGTACGTATAATTCGATTGATTTTTTTTTCATTATTTTTTACTCGAGCGTAACGGATGAGTCTTTTAAAGACGAAATGTGCGTCTGGCGTACACAATTTTAATCCTGGTATCTATGATGAGCTTATTTTCGTAAATTGATATAACATTTATTTCTTAAAAATTATCAAATCTTTAGTACTTATAATACTTGCCACCAACGCTAGCTATCTCATCAGCAATAAAATCATTCTCTTGGGATGTATCTATGCTGACTAATTTTGCAGAGCGTCCCTTACAATCGGTCTAAGGAATATAAAAAAATATATCAAACTAAACGTAAATGCTAAGAGAATCAATCAAACATGGGTGCAACCAGATGAATATTGAAATAAGAAATTGTCAGATTTTTGTTCAACAATTTTGAAATAAGATATAATGTACAAAAGTTGTGTCCACGTATATGTAAATAATTAGCATAACACAAACCTTTATTTTTCTGTGTTGACATAAATTAAGTACGTACGTAAAGTAAAAGTATAACTAACATATTGAAAAACTCAAAATTATTAGAAAACATGAGGTAGGTGTCTGAGAGGTCCGAATGTTCGAACACGTTACAACTCGTCACTGTAAAGCTGCTAACCAAATATGAAGTCATGTATAATAGTACCAGAGGATAGTTTGAAGGAAATATCTGTTGGACGAACACACAAAACAAATTATGTTTAGTTGATATACTTATTACTACACAATAAATGATGACTTTTGCGGATAAAACCGTGTATCTTCTTAAATAAATAGTGTGTACTGTTTTATTATATGAAACAAAGTTCAAGGTAAATCGAAAAAAAGCCCATAAAACCTTTTAAAGTAAAATCAAACTTTAGACTAAATCAACCAACGGAAGAATAAAAAAACAACTGTTGTGTTCCTGACTAAGTACAGGTGTTTACAGAAGAAAATAGTGGGTTAAAACAGGTTTTATAGCTAGATAAACCTCACACTTGTATGACAGTTAAGTGTCAATAATTCCGTTATATTGACAAAATTGGTTGAGCAACCTAAGCTGTGTAAACATGAAACTATTTTCGAAAATTAGTTTGATACAATTTTACACTTTAAGGTTACAAAACATTTCTTCTTCATTGTCTTTTTTCAAGTATCTATCAGTGGAGTCTTAAGCTTGTATCGTGTAATTGGACCAAATTTCAATTCATTCAAATCAGGAGAAAATCGCTCATTTCGAGAATTGTTCATAAGTCTTCTGTTCTACACAATAACAAGGCAGATGCTGTGTAACAGGTTTGATTTTTAAAAAACAATTAACCTTAAAACCTTTAAATAGTATTCTTTGTTTTGTCTGTAAAACAATAAAACCACTGTGTAGAAAGTTTATATAAGGAATGACTGTAATATTTTTTCTGTCTATGAAGAAATGACGGTTATTTAGAATAGATAGAAAAAATATTACAGTCATTCCTTATAATTTAATTCTAAATTCCATTTTTAAGGAGTAAATCATGAAAAAAATACGTTGATGATGTCACGGTCACATGACAAAATTATGTCTATGAGCTGATAGACAAAAAACTTTCAGCCAATCAGGAGACGTGTTACAGCCAAAATTAAATAGATATGGTACAATGCCATGAACTGAAAACTTTTGGAAAACACAATTCTAACGCATTCAATCATATAACCCGTACTAAGTTTTCCTTTTATACCGGTTATTCGAAATAATGACATCCGTGTTTTTCTTAAGAAAAAGAAAAAAACAACATTATTTTTAGATAAGGAAAAAAAAAGTAGAGTTTGCCTTACCGAAGCTTGCTGCCAATTAAGAGAGTTTGTGCTAAAGTAGTAACACGAAGTTTTAAAGTGTATCCACCCAGGTTGGCATGCTCCTTCTACATAGGCTGTTAGAATAACTAAAAAAAGAAACATTGTTATAAAAAAAAATATTTTGTTATCATTATCCGAGTTTTTAAAAGAAAGTTTGACTATATTGTAGTTTGTTCACCCAATCGAAGGGTGATAAAGTTATAATTGTCTGGACTTCTACCGCTAAGAAGTAAGACCCATGCAAAAAGGGCGTCCGTTTGGCCGTTTATGGTGTAAATACGACATGACACAGATTGGAATTTGAAAGTTGAATCAGATGCCCTATGTGAGAAAAGTGTTATACTCTCTACACGTACAAAAACAATTCATCGGTCGTTTTCTTCATTTGCCTTATATATATTATGATATCATGTTTCTTCAATTTTACAATAAACGAGTAAAATCATTGTAGACCGAATGCGTTTGCTGGTACGCAATTAGATTATGGCAAGTGTCTCAAATGACCTAACCATTGAATTTATCATCCCAAGCACTACATAATCGTTACTTTATTTTAATATAGTGGTAAAATGTACGTACATATTAGATCTGACCAAAAACATACTTGCTTTGAATATTAATTAAAGTATTTGTCATAGTTTGTTCTACACACTCGTCAATGGCGCTCGTATCAAATTAAAAGAGTCGGAAGAAGAGCATTGAAAACAAAAACAAACAAAAACTTGTAGTGAACAGTCCTAGATAAATAGTTTGTAGCAAATTTTTATGAAAATATCAACAAAATATTTACCTACCTGCTATTGGTAAAAATTTAGTGAAGCCAAGGAACAACATGGCACTGTGTATTTGATAATCAATACACCTTATCTCTGAAGGTGTATTGATAATCAATACACCTTCAGAGATAAGAAGATTACAATATACATTATTGTCCCTCAATTCTGTATTCTTAAATTTTTTAAGCCATTTTTCCCTATTTTTTGTAAATTTTGCCCATTAATCTCTCTTCTTTATATTTTAACACCGAATAATTATTCCCTGTTCTTTATGTGTTTTCCTATTTTTCTCTATTCTTTCATTTTTTGTTTACCCATTATCTCTAATCTGTAAAACTCCATCCAGACCCTCTCATATAACAATAGGATGTGGTATAATCGACAATTGTACAACTATTCAAAAATACCAACTGACGTAGATGTAAGCAACTTTAGGTCACCGTAGGGCATTCAACAATGAGTAAAAACCATACCGTATTGTAAGATAGTAAAGGCACTGACATGACAAAATGAAAAAAAAAATGCAAACAAAAAACAAAAGGCCAGATTTATGTACAAAAGAATGAACGCAAAAAATATGATGGACAAAGTCCACCGACAACCACTAAATTACAGGCTCATGGCTTGGAACAGGCACATGCAGCACGTTTGCAAGCGTTCAACACTTCCCCTTACATTGGATAGTGATGTTTAAATGTATTTTCTAGTTACTGAAACAGATGATCAGCTTGACCTTCAAGGACAATTACATACGTTATAGTTTTAGAATCGTAGACTGTTTTGCAATAGAATTGTTACCTATTCACTGTGTCTAAACTACCCCGGCAAAAAATGTTTGGACTCGATAGTATCTAATGTCCGGTACGGTGACGGACAATCAACAGACAGAGAAAAGGTAGAATTTGTGTTTATTAATTTGTTTTTTTAATGACATTTAAGAATAAACATACACATATAACTATTTTCGATTGTGTGATGTTATATTTTCTACAACCGTTCTAGATTAATGGAGAAATAAGTAAAAAGGCACGTGAAAATGGTGAATTGAGTGAACCTTGCTACGAATTTGTTTAATTTCTTTTAAATTGTGCACATTGTACGGAAAGAAAAGTACTGAAAGAAAGATATTAACACAAATATTGCATGGCTAGTCACTACGAGCTCCTCAATATTTGCATTTCTGTGCATGGAACGAAAGAAATGGGTCATGTCAAAATGGAAGGACCCTGTTTCGTCAATGTTGTTTATTACATAAGGACCCGGTTTTGCCTCAGTATAGGACCCAGTTTTGTTTTGTTTTGAAACCACATATTTATGAAAAGCTACGTTAACACGGATCTGAACATTGCCCATCGGAAGAAATTAAATATGTGAGTCAAAAAGATGTTATAAAGATGTTATTGCAATACAAACATGTCGTGTTAAAATATATTCCAAACGGGAACTTTTCGAAATAGGGAGTAGACATTTTTGAATGCTATACGTATACCTTATTGAACTTATCTTTGAACTAAGTTTAAATGAAAATAAATACTTTATAGCATGTACTTACATTAATTCCTTATGATATAAAAAAGAAGATGTGGTGTGATTGCCAATGAGACAACTCTTCACAAGAGACCAAATAACACAGAAATTAACAACTATAGGTCACCGTAAGGCCTTCAACAATGAGCAAAGCCCATACCGCATAAGTCAGCTATAAAAGGCCCCGAAATGACAAATGTAAAACAATTCAAATGAGGAAACTAACGGCCTAATTTATGTAGAAAAAAATGAACGAAAAACAAATATGTAACACAGCAACAAACGACAACCACTGAATTACAGGCTCCTGACTTGGGACAGGTACATATATACGGAATGTGGCGGGGTTAAACATGTTAGCGGGATCCCAACCCTCCCCCTACCCTGGGAAATTGGTTTAACAGTACAGTATAAGAACGAACTATAAAAATCAGTTGAAAAAGGCTTAACTCATTAGATGGATACATTAATTCTAACGCTTGGTTTAAAAATTTTAACAAATATAATGCCTACCTATGTTTAAATGAGCGTTGAGCATGGCATGAAAGAATTATTTCTTTTTATAAATAAAATTTGGTTTGCAACATTATAACGTCCAATATCTTCGTCTTCGTCTTCGTAGAACAACCTAAGTGGCAGTTTAGACCGTGAAAATGACAATGTGACAGCTTTCCATCAAAGACCAAATGACGTAAAAGTTAACAAATATAGAACACCGTAGGGCATCCAACAATGAGAAACGCCCATACGGCATAGCAAGCTAAAAAAAAGGCCCCGAAATGAAAACTGTAAATAAAACTAATGTTAAAACTAACAACCTGATTTATGTACAAAATAAAAAACGAAAAACAAATACATGTATAATATACAGCAACAAAAGACAACCACCGTTTTACAGGCTCCTGGATTCGGTACTGGCACATACAGAATGGCGGGGTTGAACGTGTAAGCGCTCACTCTCAATCCCCCCCCCCCCCCAAAAAAAACAAACTGGGATAACAGCACAACATATGAACAAACTATAAAATTCAGTGAGTTGAAAAAGGCTTAACTCATATGATTACAGAGCCCCTATAGTAAATATGCGATTGGCGGCTGTCTCTGTTTTTTCGTCTTTTATTAAATTTTATGATGGTATACGATATAGTTACATTATATCAGTGGCGGATCCAGGGGGTAGAGGGAGTACGCCGACCCCCTCCCCCCTTTTTGGTGGCTGGGAATAATTATTTTATTATGTTTTTTTACGATTTATATATGATTTTTTATTTAACATAAAATCGTAAAAAATAAGTTCCTATTGCTACGCTTGGCGGTATAAAATCCGTTTATGAATACGCCCCTTTCAAAAATCATGGCCTCGGTCCGCCCTTACATATTGACAATTTTAAACTTGACCAACGTGCTTAAATTGTAGAACATTTGTCAATGTACGATAATCAATATACAATGAAGAGATAAACCTATATATAATAGTTGTACTTGTTAACAATTAACTTGATACTAGTGCATTAATGAATTTGTTAATGTTAAAAAAGAGAAGAAATAAATAAGAGATAAAACATCGTTTATTTATAAAATTACTAATCAAATAATCATCATTGCAATTTCCGGATGGCCTAAGACTATTATACTTATTTATACTTAGTATTATTTTAACAAGGAGCGGTAAACAGATTTTTAACGCACTATTATTGTGATCGTTTGCGCCGCATGGAAATTCCCTTTCTTGGGCGATTCTGCATGCATATACATTTGTCTTATTCTCTTGCTATATAATGAACGTTTAGTTTTAAAATATTCATTTTCAAACGATCATACTGTCTCCCCCTTTAAGTAGAGCGGAACTTTAAGATAATCACATATTAAATGTGCGTCCTTAAACTTTCAAGGCCGTACACTATTTAAGTTTGAACACTTAAATTTACATAGTCGATATTAAAAAATCCAATTGCGTTACAAAACCTTCGTTTCTTTTTAATTTTTCCTTTTTTTTTATACAAAACATTATTGAAATTTGCTTTCTTCTAAAATAGCAGGAATTCAAGTCTTTACGGATTCAAAAAGGTTATAAGTTATCCTCTGAAAGAAAATGTTTTTCAACGATCACTCAAACTGCTGTTGAACGCCATATTTTAATTTTCGTCATGCGATTATGCATTATTTTCTATGACAAAACCGGGTCTGCTTTGTTAAATTTAAGGACAAAACCGGGTCGTACACATTGACAAAACCGGGTGCCTCAATTTTGACATGACCCACTTCTTTCATTCCATGCACAGACATGCAAATATTGAGGTGATCATAGTGACAAGTCTTGAAATCTCCGTGTTAATATCTTTCTTTCCGTACCTTTCTTTCCGTACAGTGTGCACAATTTAAAGAGAAATTAAACAAATTCGAGGCAGGGTTCACTCAACTCACCATTTTGATGTGCCTTTTTACTTATTTCTCCATTAATCTAGAACGGTGGTAGAAAATATTACATTACACTATCGAAAATAGTTATATGTGTATGTATATTCTTCAATATAATTAAAACATCATATAAATAAACAGAATTTCTACCTTTCTCTGTCTGTTGATTGTCCGTCACCGTACCGGACATTAGATACTATTGAGTCCAAACATTTTTCGCCGGGGTAGTTTAGACACAGTGCTATTGTCATAAACTAAAGTCAAAACAAAAGATAAAAATATAAGGTCATCAAAGGTCATCAAATATACTGAGGACTACATTGTACATTGCAGATTACAATCTAGGTATAATGGAAACCTTAACAAATGTATACTTTGTAATCATTGGAATAATGCTGAGTTGTAAGTTTAAAACTTATTCATGCCATTACTTCATACGCCTTTAAATACATACAGACAAGATAATAATCTCTCACCTTAAATACATACAGACAAGATAATAATCTCTCGTGTAATAGCATATCCTTGAGATTGACATTTTGACATGAAGGATCACGAGACAAACGATACAATGAAATTTCACGAAATAGAATTTAAAATAATAAAAGAATGGCGGAGTTGTGTTGTTGTTCTTCATCTTGAAGATTGCTGGACAATCTTTGTTACGAGACAGTCTGGTACTCTTATTTATCACCTTTTTTCTTATTTTGATATGATATTTTGCTTTGCAACTAGTCATTTAAAAAAATGTCCTGATATTTTGTTTCGATTTTTCAGAATAAAAGTAATTTCTACATTTGAAACACAGAGACATTAATAATTTGACTATTGCAATAGAAGGAATGTCAAAATAACACTATATCACCGAGTTCTACATACTAAAGTGGCTCCAAACTCGATATAATGAAAAATATAACAGTTAACAACAATCACTTCACTCAAAACTAAAGACTCAGCAACACTCCACAAAAAACCGAGGGGAAGTTAATTGAGCCGAACGAACCAACATGTCATGCTCTACTATTGACACTCGCCGTATTTATAAACGACACTATGTATTAAATATCTGTAATGTATCTTTGAGTCATTGTTATTTATATTTTGATGTAATTCGTTCTATTGCAGCGCCACCTGGATATTTGGGCCAGGAAAGTATTTGTAGAACAGGATGGGTTTACTTTGATTCATCTTGTTATTATTTCGGTACTTCTCATCATATAAACTGGAAACAGGCCACGGTATCTATTATATTTTAATAGCCAATCTGCCTAAGAATCAGGCAGTGGTGAAAACATGACAAAAAAAAAACCCTCTCAAGTTGACATTAATTTATGTTCAAATTGTATAATGGTGCACGAGCATAATATTCTTTTCCTATTCCGGTGCAGGTATTTCAAGATATAATTTGGTTGAAATGCACTAGAAATAAACAATTAAGGGGAGCTAACTCCGTAATTTGCTATCATTCTAACCAAAAGTTATCTACAGATTTCTCGAATTACCAGAGAAGCAGAAACGAAAGACCTACCATTTCTAACTCAGGATTAGGGTAACTTCAGAATAGGATGGTTTAGGTCGGTCGGTTTTTTCGGCCATGTTTTAAAATTTTTCTAAATTGCCTGATTCTTACATAGACTGGCACTTAATTCTCATATCAAATCTTTCTTTGTGTATCTAATATATGTATTAGATGTAGGCTTCTCGTATCTGAGTGGCGTCAGCCCAGAAGATATGAGACGTCTGCATCTGATTTACATTTTAGCAATAAATGATTATTTTATCTTTTCTCTTGTTCGTTAAATAGTAATTGGTTTTGATACAACAGGAATAATGTCATTATCTCAAATTTTCAAGATGCATTTACACTATTACAAGATGTTTTATAATTATGAATTTAGAATGAAATCTTGCGTCTATTTTCTGTCATCAAATTGATATTTTATCACTGCGTCTATTTTCTGTCATCAAATTGATATTTTATCACTGCTTTTGTATGGCAATATGAATCGCTGTACTACTATCTTGTTATTTTCTGGTTTAATTGCCAAATCCTGAACTTTTTGCTGATAAATGATAACACTACTATGTAAATGTCCATATGTTCTTTTTGAAAAGAGAGTCATTTTCATCTCCAAAAGACCAATATAAAAGTTTGCAAAGAAATTGGCGTTAATTACTGATGAGTAAAAGCGTCCATATCGTATTATGTCATTGAACAACAAACTGATTTAATATTAATAGGTTGCAATATGGTTTGGTCGCGTGTTCATTGTTAATGATGTTTATTTTTAGTTTACTTGTATTGTTTAAGGATGTTTGCTACTCTGTTTCAAAATAACAAGCTTTTAAAAAGACTGTTTTAAATTGAAAGTTTGTAAATAAAGAAACTAAAAAAGCAGAAAAAAATTAAGGGTCCGTGTGCTTGTTTTCGAGTTATAAGCCATTGAAAATTTGGCGGGAAATGATTCTCTCTAGATTTTTCATACATTTAACATTGTCACCTTTTTTCTTTCAAAAACAATGAAAAAATAACAAGGATTTTATAAGATTTTCAAATATGGCTTTTTAAACTATATGTTATAAAATTATGAAAAGAAAAGTAGGGGTTAGCGGGCAAATTTTTTAATGGCACTACATGGATAAAACCAGAGGATTCCGAATATCTGGCAAAAATTCAAAAACAAGAGGAGCGAACATCCTTAAGAGCTTTTTCTTTGATTTCTTTTCCTACATACATTGTATTAAAAAAAAACAAGAACATTAGTGGTATATTTTTTCCTCTCTCTTGGAAATATTATCAGTTTCTCTGTACGAAAATATAAGATTATGTTTTTGTTATTTGTATCGTTTGTGAAGGTGGTATGAATTATTTCTTAATTCTAATATGACGTGCTTCTTTTGCTTTGTAAACAACAGCGTGATAAAATTCTATTATTTGATTTTGATTTTATACATTTTTCAAGATCTTATGCATTAATATGTACATCTGCGCTAAGTATCGATATATCGAGAATTTTATCACGCTGTTGTTTATAAAGCGAAAGAAGCACGTCATACTAGAATTGATATTTTAGTCTTAGATACATGATACATGATTTTTTTTATAAGTTTTTATTGGCTTTGAACTAGCTGTCAGTAACTGCGATTACGCTCAGATCTGTACTTTGTGTCTTTTTTGTTGTTAGGGATCTATAAATACCCTGCCACGTCAGGTCTGTGTTTTTGTTAGATGTTTTTCTGCTTTAATTGTATCGATCTGATGAGTTAATCCTTTTTTCATTGATTTTTGTAGTTTCTTCTTATGTTGTGCTGTAACACCACTGTCCCAGGTTAGAAGAGGGTTGAGCGCTCACAAACATGTTTAACACCGCCACATTCTTTATGTGCCTGTCCCAAATCAGGAGTCTGTTGTTAAGTGGTTGCCATTGATTCATGTCTGTCATATTTGTTTTTCGTAAATTGTTTTGTTATAAATTAGGCCGATAGTTTTTTCAATTGAATTGTTTCATAATGTCGGGGACATTTATAGCCCGACTATACTGTATGGGTTTTTCTCATTGTTGAAGGCCATACGATTGTCTATAATTGCTTACATCCACTTCATGGTGGATAGTTTCTCATTGTCAATCATACTTATTTTCATATGGTGAAAATATCTTAGCATGTAAATGTTGCATGATTTTTACATTTTAGACTTTGTGTCAAACTCGAAATACCTATTTGGTTGCCATAGAATCAGAAGCAGAAAACAATTTTATACATACAGAGGTTAAAAGGCGTGGAGGTATAAAAAAAAATCTAAATAAAATATTGAATATATAAAACAAATCTTTAATTAAGGCAATTTTAAATTTAAAGATCATAAGAAAGCAAATTATGAAAATTTTTAATGTTCCCTTACATTGACAAAATCAACTATTTACTCTCTTCAGCTCCATTAAGTCAAACATGACACGTTATCAAGTTTAAATGATAACAATTCGAATTTAATGGACAACTTAGACTTTCTGGGTTATTTTTCGTCATTGGTTTTCGGTTTTCAATACTCAAAAATCCAGAAGTTGATTAATATGAACCTAAAGTAATAAATAATAACACAAACGTTTAAATGTGCGTCGGTATGAAATTTTGGGATATATAAGAATATTTTGAATAAGTAAGGCTTCACTATTTGAAGAATCTGAAGGTCCTTGAATAGTAATGAACAAAATGCTTGCTTTTAAGTGCATGGCTAGACGTATGTTGTTCAAATTCAAGAACACTATAAAAATGTTAAGATATCATAATAAAATCAACCAAGGTTATAAAAACCATGAATATGGGTGTCGTTATTGCGTAACAACAGTAACAAGTTGAATCTACAGACTTCTTTTAATGCAAATATATGTAAAATGACACATCTTTGATGTATGTATATACAGTGTCTTAAATCTCTATTTCTCTTCAACTTCAACCAAAGAAAAAGAAAATCAGGCATAAATATGTGAGAATACTAGTAAAATGCATACATGATCAGTGGCAGAATTCAATATTTACAACTGGACGTTTAAAAACAAACAATAGCAATCAATCAATAATACCACAGGACATATACTTGTTGAAATATTATATGTCATAGATCTTCAAAAACATTGCTCTTCAGGTGGTTATTGGCTAGGCGGCTCAGACGAATTTGTAGAGGGACAATGGGAATGGGCGTCAATTGGAAAGCCATTTGTTTATACAAACTGGTACCCGAAGTCACCAGATAACCAACTTCATCATCAAGACTGTCTGATGACGAAGGGTACCTTTCACAATGGATGGTGGGATGACGTCGATTGTGACCAGGTTGGATATTTCATATGTGAGGAAAAGTAAGTAGATTATTTGTTAATATATTTGTGTCTAATATAAAAATAAGCAGACGTGTTTATGCTTGCCAATGAGACATCTGTCCACCAGAGACCAAATAACATGGATGCAACCAACTATACGTCACAGTGCGACCTTCAACAATGATCAAAACCATATCGTGTAGTCAGCTATAAAAGGCCCCGACAAGACAAAATTTGAATTGTAAGTACATTATGTACCAGTCTCCAGTGAGTATATTTATTATGAACATCCAATTTTAATCTTTTAATTTAAGCTGTGAAATGAATAAAAAAAAAGTTGCCGGGTGTACGTCAATGAGACAGCAACCCAACAGACAAATAAACAAATGATAAATAAATATAAAGGTCAACGTAC